GGAGAGGGGTCCTAAGTTTATAAATAATATGAATCACCCTACACAATGTCCGGTAATCGCTCCTCGACGAGGGGTTACACGTGACATTATCGCGTGGTCATCACATCCATATCTACCCTTTTCCCACCCCGTTAAGGTGTTAAACCACATAATAGTCTCGTTTACTTATTGCATGCTATTACCCGCCACAATTCTATTAGCCCTAGAGGTGCTTGGGACTACTAATCCTATAATGGTGGAAAAGTTGGCTTATTGGTGGTTTCAAAAGGTAAAAATACTAAGGCGACAAACAAAACATGTATAGTAAGTATTGGGAAAACACATAAATAGGTATGGCTCAAATAAACCTCTTCAAATCAAAGAAAAACATCTAGTTTAGCATGTCTTGCATGTACTGATTAGGGTCTGATTAAAACTTAAAAGGGGAAAGCAGGCTAATTTATCATATATTTTCAGATAAGAAGTCCGAATTAGACCTGTCTGTTGGACGTAATTAACAAAGAAAACTGGTGCAATCATAACTTTTATCCTAAGGCTTGCCTAAGTGTTAGACGAAACCTATAGGCATGATATCTACTGGTTTCAGAAAAGATAAAGTGTACATATTTTAGAAGAGGTCGTCAATTATTCAGGGAAGATGAGTTTTGACAAAAGATTATGCAGATGTTGGACAATGATATTGCCGATTTTAGACTTATAGGTGACAAAAACGTTTCATACTAGGTTGTTAATTAATATAGGCATGCTTTCTAGGCGTTGTTGACTTTAAAAAGATTGTTATTAACATGCAGAAATCCTATAGGCAGGTCATCTATATGCAGTTAGTTATTTAACTCCTATAAACAGGTTTTCCTAATGACAGGTGCACATGCAAATTGTAGGAAGTCCTATAGGGATATTATCTATATGATATGCAGAAGTGCAGAAGTATAATAATTCCCTATAATCATGATATCTATATGAAATGAAGAATTGCAGAAATATAATAATTCCCTATGAACATGATATCTATATGAAATGCAGAAGTGCAGAAGTATAATGATTCCCTATGAACATGATATCTACATGAAATGCAGAAGTGCAAAAGTATAATGATTCCCTATGAACATGATATCTATCCCTTTGCAGGCATGATTCCCTCCTTTTTTACTAGCCCATCCCAATAGTTATTACAAGTTATTACAGCCCGGAATGAAATAAGAAAAGCAAAATTAAAAGTACAACCAAGGGGAGCCTAATTCAGACTCCATGTCTGAAATATGAGATGAACCAACTCTAAATATCATGATCCAAAGCCTTTCTCTCATCTTTGGATGTTTCAGAGTTCCCTAAGAGCCTCATATGGATTCCGGGCAGTGCTCACAGCAAAATGTTACCAGATAAAGAACATAGTGCAGTGTGGAAGGGCTAGCCCTCAAGTGTCCAAGCTCAGAGGGAACTCAAGGTCCTAAGGCAAGGATCACACGAAGGGGGCAGAACCTAGAAGCTAGGAGAGAGTGCAAGTGCAGAAGTGAAATTCTGAAAGGGGAAAGGGGGGAAAAGGGAACAACTTAAAAATCAGTGCATATAGGGGTATAGAGGAGTAGGGAATTTGCAAGAACACAAGAGAAGCAGGCTGATGGGAATACTCAGCAATGGGATATGCTGGCACACCCTCCAGCCTATTAGAGGTTAGGACCTCACTGGTTCAGAACTCAAGTCATGGGCAACAACTCATGTTGCCATGCCCTAAGTCAACATTCACAAACACATAGGGGTAATGGGGTAGGGAACAAAGATTCACAGTAGAAACAGGCAGTAGAACATAGGCATATTAAGTTAAATATTGAACTCTACATAAGCAGTAAGGTAGCCATGGATATAAAAACTTTAAATAAACACATTGGGGTGATGCTGAAACTAAAATTAGGACATACCAGTTTCAAAAAAAAAAACAAACAAAGAGAAAAAGCAGTAGTCTTGTAAAGCCAAAGTGCAAACGATCAATCAAAATGCTATGAGTTTAGAAGAGAATTGTGAAGTGTGAAATGTAGAAGTATTGAATTGAAGGTGTACTAAAGTGCAGAAGGGTCATGCCCTTTTATAGTGTAGAAAGAAAGTAGAAATAGGTAAGAAAGATAGTTTGGAAATTAATTACACAAGGTCTCCCTTTAATTAAGGGATTCTGATTTCAAACGGGCAAAATAATTAAGGAAAGGGGTCAATCAAACACTTTTACAGAGTAGTACAAGAGGGGAAAATACATAGAGGTTTATGTAATGACAAAGTCTTGATAGTACACGGTTTGTGCAAATAAGGAAAGGAAATCAGTTAACAGCTAGTAAATCAGAAATTGAGGATTTCGTATGAATGAACCAGGTCAGAAAGATGGGAAGGATTTCGACTTAAGGAAAATCAGTACCAATCAATTAAACTTATTAAAACAAATTCTGAATCAATCACAAGTTGGAAAACTATTTTGAAGAAAGATTCCTCATATATAAAAGCACACAGACACGTTAAACATGAAGAAATTTGTCATGCTATTCAATAGAAGAGTCTAGTGTAGGAGAATCAGAATTATGTGCAAACAAAATAAGTTCACACTTAGTTCATAGACTCAGAAATAAGTCTGAAAGAGTCAAGGGTCCTCAAACAGAACCCTAGTTAGATCATATGCCCAAACTCGGAGAAACCCCCAATTTCTAGCGTTTCCGACTCAAGTCAAATACGGAGATGAGGAGGCAACAAGATCAAAGATTTCCTTTCAGAATCTCATGAGAAGACAAGTAAATACAAATAATATTCAAAGCAGACAGAGCGCAGGAGCATAATGAGAGAATAGTCATGACAGTAAAAGAAACGTGTTTAAGAAAACCTTTTAGAAGGGACTTAAACAGAGTTCAGTAAAAGGCAAACAAAACTTAAGAACTCAGTAGGAAATACATACAGTAGAAGAACACAAAAATACCGGAAAAGCATAGCAAAAAATCATATAGGAAAATACAACAAGATAAACATGCAAACATGGTACAAAACAGAGTAGAAAAACAAAGCACATAAGAACATGCATGATAAAGGAAAACATAAGAACACAGTAGAAGAATATGCGTGGTAGAAAAGAAAACATAAGAACACAGTAGAAGAATATGCGTGGTAGAAAAGAAAACATAAGAACATAGTATAGACAAATACACACAAAGAAAAGAAGAAGAAAAGTCAGAGAAACATTTTAAGCTTTTCAGAAAAACCCTAAATCGGAAAGAAGTAATTTTGAAAGAAAAATTAGGGAAAACGTTTAAAAACTCAAGTAGAGAACAAATATAGAACAGATCTAAGTAAACAATCAGAGAAAACGTCGAATAGTTAGGGTTTCAGAGGAACCCTAAAGCGAGAAAGGCTTGGAAAAGGTCCGATCTGAGTCGGATAAGTCAGAAATAGACTCATAATGCTTGGATATGCCGGAGCAAGGCCGGAGAGGCCATAGAACCTTGAATCGGAAAGGATCTGAAAGGACACCATTAAGGCCAGACCTCGAAACTTCGAACACCAAGTGTTTAAGAGCAGGGGGAGATGAGTTTAAGCCATCCATGGCCTGAGAGGCCATGGATTCCGGTGAGTGGAAGGTAGAAGACAGTA